TCGCTACAGACCATTCTAATATCTTCTGTTTATTTCTGGGGTCTATGGCTTGGTGGTATTCTGTGTGAGACACAACGGACCCCCTTTTCCATCAGCAGAGCAGCAGGGATGGGCAATCCTGAATGAAAGCATTACTGAGTTCTCTTTGTTTTACTCAGATAAACAATTCATCAGAAGGATGGAAGGTCTTTGACAAGTTTATTTTATGTTAAGCGTGTGCTCTGGACATCACCAAAATGGAGCTGCACCTCTGAGATGCTCCTGAGATTACAGGGAGCCAGGAAAATGGAGTTTGGTTTTAAGGTGTTTAACTCAAGCACATCCATCAATGAAGGATGGTGATCTAAGTCTCTATGGCAAGTACCTAGCACTGTGGTTTTCAATGCCCACATAATAAAGTTTTGCATAGATTCCCGTTGACACCTCTGCTACAGTTGAAGAGCAGGTGGACTCGGTGGCTATAACTACACACAAGCACAGAACACAAGACCTGAGTTCTATCTGCAGACCCCACACTAAAAGCCAGGCATTGTGCTGCTTCTGCAAAAGGGGAGGCAGGAATAGGAAGATCCGCTGGGCTTGCTGCTCAGTTAGCCAACCAGTATCCAGATGCCAAAGAGGCCTTGTCTCAAAAAGCAAGGTGGACATCTCCTAGGAGCAACACTGAAATTGTCTCCTGGCCACCACATTCTTCCCCTCACGTGGGCACACACGCACGCGCACGTGCACACACACACACACACACACACACACACACGAACACAAACTTGATCAAATGCAGGGTTTCATCTTAGAACCTGGGTCCAAATTCTACAGTCTTACATCAGCATTAGTTGTTCTGCTTAACTGTCTGTGTTGTATCCACGAAGCCCAGAAATCAGCTACAGCCGGTTCAGCTAAGATGAACTCCAGACCAGAAGTACTTGTCAGAAGTCAAGAAAGCTGCAAGATGAAGTCCTAATGTGTAACTGGCAGGTCAAAGAATGTGAATATTTTTAAGTCACTCATATATGGTTAGACTGGCCTTGAAAAGGGCTGTGCCAGTTCTACACCACTACCAGGACAAGTGATCGTTGAGAACCTATGTCAGGCCAAGCATAGCGGTGCTGTGTAGCAAACATGAGCACAAGCTGTTTTAATTTGTATTGTATTTTACTCATAGTGAGAGTGGATATTCCTTTTTTTATCCAAGATGAAATTTCTTTCTTATGGTGGCTCTTCCCCCTGATCCTCTTCCAGTGGATCTAATGTTCTGCATCATGGGCAAGTGGACTTGTTAAACTGACAGTCATGTCCTATACCTTCTGGGCGACACATTCCTGCGCTACTCAGCTCTAGTTCCTAGTAACTCAAGAAGGGCTTCTTAGACCTTTCAATCGCTGGAAAATGTCATTTGTTCTGCTGGATCAGGAGAATCACCTACTGTAGCCATACTGATGGTTTTGAACGAGTAAATTTTATTAAATATACAGCAAGTCAGAGAAAAATGGAGAAATGCAAAGGCGGGAGGAAGGGAGGGGGAAATACTAAAACATCATATTGGATATGGGCTGGGGAAGTTAAGGCAGTCAGCTGGAGTTCCAGACTGAGTGTTCTTCCCATGGCTGGACTTCTGGCTTCTCTTTCCCACCCCAGGCGTTTTCATATCATGGGATAAGCAACAGCAACCTCTGTTGGGAATAGCTTACCTCCTAGCTGTTCTCAAGGGCACCGTCTTTTAATCTTGGCCTGTTTTACTGTTCTCTTCCCTGCTTGTCACACACTTAAGGGGCCCAGCCCATTCCCAGACAAGACATCTTAGAAGACACTTGGTATAGAGATGCATGGTTCCGAAGTGGTGAGGACCAGTTTCCCTTCCAAAGTCGGCTTCTCAGCAAGCTCGATAGCACAGGAGAATGCAGCAATGTACATTAGACTTCCTTCAGCTCTGGGAGAAGGGAGCTGCTGGAAGCCTTGTCTGGCAAGTATAGGTGTTAATTTGGCTAAATCAAAAGGATTCTGAAACTTGGAGATGTTCTTCCTCTGGGGCCTGTGTGTGTCCAAACTGTCCACTGATTGGTGGCAGAGGATCATCAGGCTTCCTGAAATCACATGCCACATGTTTTCTGAGTGACATTTTGCACACATTCCTACTAGAAATGGCAGGCGAGTGAGGTTTGTGACCCAACAAGTTTAAGATTTACCAGATTAGAGAATTTACTGCAGAACCCTCTTTAAAAGGGTCGTTTTTTTTTTCAATTTGGCCACAGATTGATAGGGACTTCAAAGAATATTCAATTTGTAAAATTTTATGAAAACAGTAATATTCAAACAGTAGCTTTTGGGGCTGCAGGGTTTCTTTAGTATAAAAACTACATAATCATTTCAGCAAATGACCTAATTATGGTTCACCTTTTAGCCCCACACAGCAGTGTGTGCATGTACTTCTTCTATGAATATAGTCTTGACTTGTGTTTAAACACAGTGAAGACTTCCCAGCAGGCTGGATGACATCAGACTCTTGTTCGTGTGCCCTCACGTCCTCCCACAGAAGCACCTGCTTAGGCGTGAAAGCCAAATTTGTACAGGAATCAGTACTGCCTAAACAAGGAGTCACAAAGCTAGAGATGTCTCAGAAGGGAAAAAACGCATTCTGTGCAGGCATAAGGAAGTGAGTTTGGACCTCTTGCACACCCATAAAAGTCAGGTATGTTGTGGTATAGTCTCATAACTCATCCTTGGGGACGCAAAGACAAGAGGGTCCCAGGGATTCACTGGCCAGCTAGTCTAGCCAAAATGGTAAGCTCTGAGTTCAATGAGAGATTTGGCTCTAAAATTAAGTGTAAAGCAATAAAGAAAGGCGCCAAAGACAACCTTTGGCCTCCACCCCCACACACGCACAGAGACACGAGCAAGCACACCCGTATATTTCATGCGCACACACATACAACATACACACAGAAACACCAAAGATAAATAACGTCCCAGGAAGCAGGAAGGAAAGGAAGGATTCACAAGGGTGAGCAGGAAGCAAACTCCATGGGAACAAAAAGCATTGTGTGGGTCCCGCTGTAAATGATAGCATTACTACGCTGTGGTAGAACCAAGGAAAGTAGAATGTAACATTAAACCATAGCTGCCCTGCTGGAAACAAGTGAGGTAAAGAACCCATTTAACATATGGGGGACATTAAAATATATTTATATCCATGTCCGCATTGTGTATGGTTGCTTATGTGCCACTGGCGATATTTTACACTGAAAAGATACAAGACATTGCCTGCTGGTGGAGGGCAAATGTATTCTATTCTTTCCTAAAAGCCAAATACCCTCAAGTAAAGGATTAATCAGTGGCCAAAAGCTGAAGAGCTGCTGTGTCTCTGCTCATAATATGGACCTGAGGCCTCCTCTAGCCTTATTTTTTTTTTAAAAAAAAAAGACATATTTTGCCTAGTAGTAGGATATGAATAAGAGAAGGGAGTTACACAAAACATCTTCAAAAAAACTCACCCCTTTTCATGTGAGTAATTCCAGGTGGCTAAAGATGAGATGGATGAACCTGAATGCAACAAGCTCACTGTCTCGGGCAAATCAAGGTTAATGCTAAGCCATGTGACATAGGGCATTCTTACTGGAGAAGTCAAGAAGGCCGAGAGTCAAGTCAGCAGGCCCCGGAGTGCAGCTGCTGGACCACCTCATGCAGTCCCTAAGGGGACCAAAGAAAATATCTCAAAGAATCAACAGCTAGAGTAAAACAAAAATAGCCAGATGTCCCAGAAGGCCCTCGTGGTATTATGAAGAAGGCTGGGGCAGGAATAACAACAGCCTTTGGGTTTTATCAACCTTACTAATAAAAGTCAGTTGGATCTCCATTGAGAAGAGCAGTTGGTACAATATGGAAAGGTTTTAAAGACCATTAATTTCTTGAAATGAAACAGCTGGCCTTATTGGCTATTAAATAATGAGCCAGATTCTCCCCAGTGCCGAAGTCACCCTCTGGTAGTAAATTAAGCATTTAGGGAGGCACATTAACTCTTTAAGAAGATTAGAGTTCAATTCAGGGCACTTTATGTGGAGCAGGAACACCATAGGGAACGCGGCTGCAGCTAAGCAAAGGAAGGGGGAAAAGGAGATGAATTATGATGGCTACACCCTCCGCTAGTGCTGACTTCATGACTCAGGTGCACACGGGAAATGGGAAGAGTCGACTCTTGAGTGAAGGTCCATCTATTCTTCTCTTGTTGGACGGGACCGTGAGGGCACAGCTGAGCCTCCATTCGGGAAACTTTGAGCTAAGCCTTGTCATACAGTGAGGAAGGAGAGGCAAATAAGTGGGTGATCGCAACCAAGTACAGTAGGTGCTAAAATGGAATTCAAGATGGAGAGGAGGGGCACCTTGTACAATGAGCCAAGGAGTTTACCCTACCAAAAAGGGCCCAACGGCTTGATTCTGTTCGCATCGTAGAAAAGGTTCCTTGATAATTTCATGGAGAATCGCCGACTGAAGGGGAAAGAATGAAGTGGAGAAAGCAATGTGAAGGTGTTGGTATAATTCCTAGGAAAAATGCCAAATAACTCTAAGCTAAGCGAGAAATGGCAGAGACGGGAGAAAGGACTGTGCTGAACGGTAGCTGACTAGAGGTGCCCAAGAAGGTAGGAGTGAGGGCAGAGGTGGACTGTGCTGAACGGTGGCTGACTAGAGGTGCCCAAGAAGGTAGGAGTGAGGACAGAGGTGGACTGTGCTGAACGGTGGCTGACTAGAGGTGCCCAAGAAGGTAGGAGTGAGGGCAGAGGTGGACTGTGCTGAACGGTGGCTGACTAGAGGTGCCCAAGAAGGTAGGAGTGAGGGCAGAGGTGGACTGTGCTGAACGGTGGCTGACTAGAGGTGCCCAAGAAGGTAGGAGTGAGGGCAGAGGTGGACTGTGCTGAATGGTGGCTGACTAGAGGTGCCCAAGAAGGTAGGAGTGAGGGCAGAGGTGGACTGTGCTGAACGGTGGCTGACTAGAGGTGCCCAAGAAGGTAGGAGTGAGGGCAGAGGTGGACTGTGCTGAATGGTGGCTGACTAGAGGTGCCCAAGAAGGTAGGAGTGAGGACAGAGGTGGACTGTGCTGAACGGTGGCTGACTAGAGGTGCCCAAGAAGGTAGGAGTGAGGGCAGAGGTGGACTGTGCTGAACGGTGGCTGACTAGAGGTACCCAAGAAGGTAGGAGTGAGGGCAGAGGTGGACTGTGCTGAATGGTGGCTGACTAGAGGTGCCCAAGAAGGTAGGAGTGAGGACAGAGGTGGACTGTGCTGAACGGTGGCTGACTAGAGGTGCCCAAGAAGGTAGGAGTGAGGGCAGAGGTGGACTGTGCTGAATGGTGGCTGACCAGAGGTACCCAAGAAGGTAGGAGTGAGGGCAGAGGTGGACTGTGCTGAACGGTGGCTGACCAGAGGTACCCAAGAAGGTAGGAGTGAGGGCAGAGGTGGAGCTCTGAGTCCAGGGCTTGGGCAACAGCATCGATGAAGGCATGTGTTTCCTGGTGAAAACATGATATGGGGACAGTTTTGGGCCCCAGAAGCATGTTGAGATGGCGCACAGAGAACGAGACAGGATAGCTATGAATCATCTGATAAGACTCACAAGGGTGCACTAAAAAGAATCTGAGATTCATAATGTGGTACGATTCCTAGAAGTTAAACTGAATGTCTCAGCTAGTCTAAATAGTGTTTGGTTTTGTTGTTCTGATCTCTGCCTGAAGGGAGGGACTTCAACGATACCGATGCCTGTGAACGAGACCCTGTCATTGTCAACCATTAAGACCATTAAAGGCGTGGGAAAGGAAAAAGTAGAAATGATTGTCTCTAGGGTTAAAAAAAAAAAAGCCTTTTTCCTGGGAATATCAATAGTTAATAAACCACGGATCTAAATATCAGGCAGTGTGTGCTCTGTGCGAGAAGGAGAAAATTTCACAGGTTGTGGACTAGACAAATTAACAGTTCTCCTCTGTCAGCACCTAAAATCTATACCATGGCTTCTCTCTATGGTATGAGGCAAAACGTGCCAACAAATTGGCTTAGATGATCTCTCTGGAAATGTGGAAGAAATTATATACTGGAGAGAAAGGGGGAAATTCTTGTAAGTGTTGACAACCTCACCGCAGCATAGCAAAAAAAAAAAAAAAAAAAAAAAAAAAAAAAAAAAAAAAAAAAAAAGTCCTTAAAGACAAACCCTCGAATTTCAGAAATGCTGTTATAGTGGTATATGCTATATGCTGCAAAAGTTGCATTTTTTTTAAAGAAAATTGACATCAAAGTTGCCCAAACCAATAGCCCTTGTGGCAGCTTTGTGGTGAGAACCTCATGCTTTAGGAATTTGAAAAGCCTAAAATTAAAAGGGTGGAGAGTTCGTGCATTGCCGAAAGAGAATTCAGCAAAGACAACAAGACTAAACCTCAGGGTTTTGCAAGTCATGGAGTCACCTCAGCAACACTTGCACCACAGTCCCAGAACAGGGTTTCCAGGTAGAGCTTGTGGGCTGCGTGCGAGTGGCTGCTATCCACAAGGCCATCCTAGGTGAGTCCATGGACAATGAGCACAGACTAGTGTGCGCCCGCTCCTGCCACGTCATCCAAAATAGACCGGAGCCAATTCCAAGGAGACCACTGTGTATTCCGGGTGATACGCAACTCCACCTTCGTGGTTTTGTAGGGTACGCGTATATAGGAGGAGCTACAAATGCTTGTGGAGTAGCCAAAGATAGACCTTGGTGTCTTTCTCAGTCACTCTGTACCTTTTTGTGAATAGTAAACTGTTATACTTATATAATAGTAAACAGTTTCATACATATACATTGTGTGTTTTAATTCCTCTTCCCCAACTTCTCATTTCTCTCTAGTCTCTAACACACACACGCATGCACACACACACACACACACACACACATGCACACATTCTCCTCCATATCTTATCTTCATATCTTATCCCTATTTATTAGTTTGGGTTCTCTTAAGTGTCCCATAGAATTGAATCAGGGCTGGCTCCTGGATCCTGAGTTTGGAACTAACCCTCAGATCCTGGTGAGCTCATCACAGGATGCATGACTGGGATATCATACTTCCTTGGCTCCCAGAATCTGTGCATTACCAACAGATCAGGAGTATATACTCAGGTCTGATAGCTGCCTTCTCACTCCATACATGACTGTTAAGGACACCCAACTTCTGTGGACCCAGTACCAGTGTGCACAGTTGTTATGAGTTCAAAGTATATCTACTTTCTGGTATATGTCAGAATCAGTAAAAATTCATGGACTTGGATGCATCTTCATAGTTACAGATAAAGAGTTTCAGAATGACATTTCTTGGTCTTGAATGTCTATGACAATATCTTGTTTTCTGTTCCAATAAGGACTCAAAACAGGGAGGCATTCAAATCTACAGGAGCTAGAAGGAAAAAAAAAAAACACTGAAAAGTTCATCAGGGAGATGCCTTGCTGAAGGTAGTATTTACAGGCTTAAAAACAGAACCGTGGGCCCTGTGAAGAAAGGGTCATCATGTCCTTTTCAGTTCACAAATGCACTTAGTGGAAGAGGAGAGAAAACCACCGCCCACTTCTTAGACCATTTGCTGCCGATAACGGAGCCCCATGATACATTTTCCCCCAAATTCTATTTTAAAGAGACTTAGAAACTGCACAACAAAAATAAATGAAAGCTACAGGGAATCCTTGTGAATCCCCTGCCCCCATGTGTGCATGCCACTCCGCCATTGCCAACATCCCCCAGCAGAGTGGTTCCGTTATTATGACTGATAGCGGTACATTGGCTTCATAAGCAGCCACAGCCCCTGCTTTATGTTAAGGTTCTCTTCTGGTTTATGCCGTCTATGGGTTTTGACATAGGTGCAATGACACACATCGACCACTGTGATGTCATACAGAGTAGCTGCATTATCCTAAAGTTGTCTGTCTTCATCCCCCTCCCACCCCCAACTCTGATGACTAGTGATCTTTTTACTGTCTTCATAGTTGTAATTCTGAATGTGACATGGTTGGATTTGTATAATATGGAGGGGTGGTTCTCAATCTTCCTAATGCTGTGGCCCATTAATACAGTTCTTCATGTTGTGGTGACCCCCAACCATAAAATTATTTTTGTTGCTACTTCGTAACTATAATTTTGCTACTTATGAATCGTAATGTAAATATCTGTGCTCTCCAATGGTCTTAGGCAACTCCTGTAAAAAAAGTTGTTCGACTCCCAAGGGTCACAGCCCACAGACTGAGAATGGTTGACACAGAGCCTTGTCAGGTGGGCGATTTATTTAGCAATATGCATTAAAGTTTCCTGCATTCTTTAGTTGCTTGATCAGCCAAGGTTGACTAGCATTCTGTTGTGTGGCTACATCAGTTTGTGTAACCATTCATCTACATCTTGGTTTTAGCTGCTTCCAAATTTGGACAATTAAGAACCAAACTTCTGTAGATACCTGTGTGCACCGTATGTGAGCGCCTTAGTTCTCACATCCCGTGGGCGGACTCAGAGGAACAAGATCACTGGATCTTATGTGGGAACAAGCTTAACTTTGTAAGAGACCACCATTCCACCTCCCAAAAGGGCCGAACTTCTGCATTCCTGCAACGTGGAGCATTCTGCCGGTGGTGTCGGGATTTGGTCATTCTTGTGGGTGTGCCGTGGTGTCCATTATAGACGGCAGAGCATCCTCTCATGTGTCTGCTATCTGTGTATCTTCTCTCGTTTGTGGCTGTTAACATTTGAGCCCTTTTTGCAAACTGTGTCTGGGGAATCCCTTGTACATTTGGCTATCAGATGTGTCTTCTGAAAATATTTCCTCTCAGCATGCAGCTTCTCTTTTCATTTTCTTGACAGTGGCTTTCATAGAGCAGAATCTTTTTGTTGTATTTTTTAATGAAGTCCAGCTTATCAATTTTTTCTTTCCTGCCTTATGTCTTTGGTTTATCTAAAAAATCACTACCTTGTCTAAGATAATCTATCTTTTCTTTTATTTTATCTTCTACGAGGCTTACAGTTCTGTATTTTGTATTTATGCCAATGATCCATTGTGATCTGATTTTTATGACAAGTGTGAGGTCTGAGCATAGATCCAGTCATGCAGTGGACGGGTGTCCTGCCCTGAGTGTAGATCCAGTCATGCAGTGGACGGGTGTCCTATGCTGAGTGTAGGTGGTCATGCTGTGGATGGGTGTCCTATGCTGAGTGTAGGTCCAGTCATGCTGTGGACGGGTGTCCTGTCCTGAGTGTAGGTGGTCATGCTGTGGACGGGTGTCCTGTCCTGAGTGTAGGTGGTCATGCTGTGGACGGGTGTCCTGTCCTGAGTGTAGGTCCGGTCATGCTGTGGACGGGTGTCCTGTCCTGAGTGTAGGTCCGGTCATGCTGTGGACGGGTGTCCTGTCCTGAGTGTAGGTCCAGTCATGCTGTGGACGGGTGTCCTATACTTTCAGCACATATTTTAAAGGCTGCCTTTGCTCCATGGTATTCATTTGGTCCTTTGACAAAGGCCAGTTGAGTATTTTCGTCATTCAATTTCTGGGTTTTTTTTTTCCGTCCCATTTCATTGATCTGTTTATCTCCTCTTTTTCCAGTACCACACTGTCTTGATTCCTCAAACTTTATGGTAAATTTTGAAGATCATTAATGTCAGTCCTCCACATTTGTTCTTTTTCAATATTTTGATGGCTGTTGTTCTAAGCATTTTACCTCTGCATATAAACCTCTTAATCTGCTTATCAATATCCACACGGGAACTTTCTAAGGTTTGGGCATCTTAGTTCTTTCCTGTTGCTGTGGTAAGATACCCTAAAAAAAGCCACAGGGGAGAAAGACTCACGGGTTAAGGTTCTATCCCAGCAAGGTTGGGAAAGTCACAGAGGCAGGGTCTTGAAGCAATTGGTCACTTTTCATCTATAGTCTATCCTCTCCTTATCAGGACAGATGTTCTCATCCAGTTGGATCAGATAAACTTCTGTATGTCAGGTTGCTGTATATAAATTCCGAATGATAATGTAACATCTGGAGTCATTCAAAACAAGAGGTGTGTGCCTCTTATCAATTAAATAAGTATATGCATTCAAAGAACAAGATAGCCAGGCTATCCTCATTTATGCACTTCTGGTATCTATAAAGTTATGTGCTCTACTCCTTGCACAGCTTAAGGGATTGACCTAAATGCCAAGAGAAGGAAGACAACAGACACATATATCTAGATACAGAAAAGCTGGTATCAGTAGGTAAAAGATCATGGATGGAGAAGCCACGGTGTGTTTATTGTATACGGTTAAACATGGAGGCAGGGTTGTTGGATAGAGCTCAACAGAAACACCATGTTTATAGTGTACAGCTGAACCAAGAAGGCAGCGTTAGCTAACCCCAGTAAGAGCAGTCTCTATAAGGAAGCAGTCTTTGAATTGTAAACATCTGGGATAGAAGGCTAACCTGAGGAAGGCTGGCCATCTCTCTGAGCTTCAGCCAGAGAAGGCTTGGCTACTCTCACAGGGATGAAGCATTGGCTCTTTGGCATGTTCGTACCAATGACAACATCACACATTCACTCAGGATTTCCTCCACTGCCCACAATCAAGTATCATTCATCCATAAAAAAATAAAATGTTTTCATGAAAGTGCATGGAACTGGAAGATACTGTGTTAAGTGAAATAAACCAGGCTGAGAAAGACAAGAAGCACATGTTTCTTTTTTATCATGCAAGGAGATGAAAAAAAATGTTTTTATCTGTTAACAGAAGCAAGACTAGGAATTCTTAGGAAAGGTGAAGGGAAACAAATGGAAGTTGGAGGAAAAAAGTTAAAAAAAAAGAGTAAACATAATCAAAACATGGTATGTAAGCATATATTGAAATGAAAAACATCCATTTGTGCAGTTGATATGCATAAACAGCTATAAATAAAGGTGAACCTTACAAAGTTAGGGAAAGCACATCCATATTCCTCACAATCATTCTGCCACGTGCAGAGAAAGCAGTGTACAGTACTGCCGAAGGGCATAGTGAAAGTCTGTTAAATATAAATAAACTATCTACGTCCTTATAAGTTAGAGCAACTAATGTAAACTCGAGTCACAAGATTAGATGATAAGTATTCAGGAGGCAGAGCCAGG